GGGCGGGCAGCCAGGCCGGCGGTACCCGAGCCGAGCGGGAGGGCGCGGGAGAGCTCCGCGTCGCCCCGCGTCACCTCGCGTCACCCCGCCCCGCCTGCTTCCCAGAGACCCGCGCCCCGCCCCTACGCGCAGGCGCAGGGCCGCTTTTCGGGTCCGCCCTTCTCCGAGATTTGAATTTCCCCCAGCAAATATAGAGAGGGAAGTACCCGGATGGTGATCACTGGCCTTTTCGCGCCAATACTGTAAGATCTCGCTGCAACCTTGAGAGGTGGGTACTGGCATCAGCTGCATGTGCCAAACCTTGCAGGAGGCCGCCCAGGCACTGCCCCGTCATCTGCACTGTCAGACTCAGGCTGTAGCGCAGGAGTCCTGCGCAGGTGCCTGGGAGCTTGGAGCCACAACAGATGGTTTTCCCACTTTCTCTCAGCTTTGTTTTATCTTTATTTTCACCAACTGATAGTCGAAATTTGGCCTTTCCTGCAATTACGAATGTAGGCTACAGAGCACAGAGTGTTAGCTTGGTGACTTTGTCACCAGTGGAAGTTACAGATCATTTCAGATCACTTAGCTTTTGTTGTAGTTATCCTGAAATTAACTCAAATACAAGACTTAGCAGCAGGCAGAATAACGACTTTGAAATTATTGTAGCTACAATCTGCCCGTAGATTCTGTAATTTCATTTACTAGTAAAGTAGCACATATATTACCGAATCACACATTTCCGAAACTATTTCCATACCATCTTTAAACATATTAAATTTATGTTGTAACTCTCTGTTTTTATGCATTTGGAAGCGCTTCTTTGAGAAAGGCCAAAGAGACCTGTGACAGCCAAAGGACATTTACCCTGTAAATGACTGTGCCACCAACTGCCCTAAATGACCTTGGGCATTCACCTCATGTCTGTGGTCCCACGTCCCTCCCCTGTAAAATAAGGAAGATGAGCTACTGGTTTCCAAGGGCCTTGCCTGAATTCAGCAATTCTCTCCCTAGAGTTCGGGAATCACTGGAGTTGCTCCAGGCTTCTCGGGTATCCAGGTGGCCCAGATTGGCCTCACCTGCTGGGGGTGTCCCATGTTACAGCCCTGAGGCTGGCATTCCCTCATGTGCAGAAAGGCAGCAAGGGTGGTCAGGATAGTCAGGGACACAACAAGCAGTTGTCATAAATGCTACAGGAAAGAAGCCACCACTGTGATTGCTGACAGTGCCTCTTGCTTAAATGCATATAGCCCCAGGAAGCAGGAGAGTCTAAGGAACATGTGTGAACCCCTTCGCCAGGATATTGTCATGCTTTGCAGGACTTCCCCCAAAAGACCCCAGAACTGCAGGCCAGTGCTGTTAAGCCTCCAGCCCTCATGTGCCAGGTGCTGGGGGAATCTGTGTCGGGTAGCAAGGGTCATGACAGTTCAGGTGTGCGGAGGAGCTTGGCCATAAAGTACCGAGCCTGGTGTTCTTGGTGGATTCAGGAAGGTGGTTTGATGACATGTCACTTTCAGCTTGCACAAGGGCTCAGATGGACTCTGCCCAGCAGCCAGAGAGAGGAGTCATTTTCCACGCCCTTCCCGGACCTCCTTCTCTATCAGGTTGACAGTATTTGACTCCTGTCCCCGGCTCTCATCCATGCTTGCGGGCAGACAGGAGGTCCCAAAGGCCTGGCAATTCATGCCACAGAGCCAGGCCCCAGAGAGGTGCAGGTGAGGTGTCCCAGCTGGAGTCAGGAGCTGAATGGGGAGGCCAGGTTGAAAGTGTTAGCAGACCTGAGGCAGGAGGGAATGAGGACAGCAGGATCTCATTCTAGCTGAAGGACAGACTGGGCCTAGGGAGCTTTCAGGGCTCCATGGGGAGGGCACTTTGGTGGCCTGGAGATTGGGACGTGATCATGCATGGCGTGGAGAGCCAGCCCAGTGTTAACTGGGGACTGGCACCATCCAGCCCAGCGGTACTTGAGGAAGGTGCTGGGGGCTGTTGTGTGCAGACCACGTTAGCAGCGGCCTGCCTGGAAATAGGAACCCCAGGGCGGGAGGGGGGGCGCAGTTCCCCCCACCCCCGCCGACCTGGACCTGGAAGCTCGTTAGAGAAGGGCTTGGGGGAGGCATGTGACACAGCCACGAGCTGAGAAGGAGGCTTATAGTCAATGAGGAGATGCAAGTCGGGGTGAGGGCTTTAGTTCACTGGTGGAAATGCTGGGCCTTGTGGTCCTCCTTAACGACGGGCCCCCAAGGCAGGGTGGGAACAAGAAAGCTCGGTGGGAGGCTCGGCAGCTCCCTCCGCGGAGAGTGTAGGTGGATGCCCAGGGCCCAGGTGAGAGGCGCGATGGTAATGTGCCAGTGGAAAGCATGAGGAAGAAGAGTAGAGGTGCTGGCTTGGTGCTTGAATTGAATTGAACTGGAACTGAGCAGGGACTCACTGAGCAAGGAGAGCAGAGGGTCACACCCCACCCTGCCCTTTCCAGGCCTACATTGCCGGAGGGGGTATGGGCATTGCAATGCCTCGGAAGTAAACACTGTGCGGTGGTCCTTATGTATAAGAGCTGACTTAATCCTCGCGGTGACTCCTCCGCTGGGAGGCCCTGGTATGCAAACTGAGGCCCAGACCGGTTAAGGGCTGAGGTCACACAACTAGAAGGTGGGGGGAGCCGGAGTTTGAACACAGACAGTCCCTCTCAACCCCACCTGCTGCCCTCTTGGCTTTTGAGTCATTTTCATTTTCAGAGCACTGAACCTTTTCTCTCTACGATGGAAATACCTTTCTCGGCTACTAGGCCAACTCACGCCACAGCTGGCCCCAAAGCAGTTGACAGTCAGTGATAAGTGCACATGGTTTTCCCATGGTCTGCTTCTGTGACTGCAGGAAATGGAAAGAAGGCAACTTGGGACAGTGTGGCACTTCAGGGGAGGGCAGGAGGGCTAGCTGTGCCGCCTGGCCTTGCACCTGAGAAGCAGAGGGGGGAGGCTTGTCCTCCTCCCCTCGTCCTCTCCCCCACCTTCCCCTCCTTCTCCTGCCCCCTTCCCTCCTCCTCCCCTTCCTCTTTTCCTCCCCCCTCCCCTCCTTCTCCTCTAGCACTGTCCCATCCCTTGCCTTGGAGTCCAGAACTCACCACAGCTAACAGTCTCTAGATATTGGTTCTCTGGATATTTGGTTTAAAGGGCTTCGGGCTGACTGGAAATGTCAACATTTATGATACCGCTGAGGTGGGAAAGCCCATTCCGAATTGTAATAAGAGACCTTAGAAAGGTCTAAGTCTCTAAATGCAGTGGTGCTAAGGGAACTAGGGCAACGAGCAGGATTTTTCTAGCACACAGATGAAAGAAGAACCGCGTGGGGGTCAGGAGAGAAGGGCACGAAACCCCTAGGGGAGAGAGCATTCTAGAGGCTTCCAGAAGCCACGAGTAAGAAGGTGAACACACTGTGGGTATTGCTTTACTTTTATTTCTGTTTTCTTCTGATGAAAACTGTTGGTGGATCCTAAGGCAGAGAGTTGGGAAGATGGAGGCTCTCTTTTGGATGGTTTTCTTTCTAACCACACTCTTTTCATAACCACAGAAGAAAAAGGCAGAACACTCTTCCACTCCTGCCAGCCAGTTGGCAGGACCGCTACCTCTCTCTGGCCTGCGTCCACCACTCTGGGGCAAGGTCGTGCCATCTGCATCGGGAATCATGGGGACTTCTTCCTGCTGAAGAAGCTGGCTCAGCCGGGAGGCCGAGGCGCGTTTTACCAAAGCGGTTTATCTGAATTCTGAACTGACAGTGGAGGCCACCCCGAGTCCTACCCGGGGCTCCATGTGAAGCCCGAGTCCAGGCAGGCCCTCTTCCATGGGGCTGTGGCCAGCTGCTTCTGCATGGCCACCGTCTACACGGGGTGTTCAATGGCATCTTCGTCCAAGTGGGCTATGAACACCATGCCGAAGCCCGCATAGCCAGCCTCCCCGCCTTCCTGGCCATGCCCTTCAACTCATTAACTTGGCCTGCGTCCTCCTGGGGGTGTACTGGCTACAGAGAAATGCTAGGGTCCCAGGACGCCCCATGGAGGCGCAGAGGGCTCGCTACCTGAAGGATATCTTTGCTGGCATGGCCCTGGTCTATGGCCTGGTTCGGTGGCTGCGGATTGCGACGCAGTTGCTTGACCAGTGGCTCACCTTGCCCATCTTTGCATGGCTGGTGGCCTGGCGCCTCTCCCTAGACGGGTCGGGAGGTTGTTCCTTGCCATCAAGTGTCTCTCCCTGGGCAGTTACGGCCTCGCCCTGCTGCACCCCTGTGGGTTTGAGGTTGCGCTGGGCGCCCACATCGCAGCTGCCGTGGGCCACGCCCTGCGCCCATAGGCGCTACGGCACTGTCTCCTCGGGAGTCTCCTTGGCTCCGGGCGCGCTCTCCTGCTTGGGCTGTGTGGGCCTCGAGCTGTGTGACCATCAGCTCGCGCGGTGGCATCTCTTCCAGTGGCTCAAAGCCTGTGATGTGCTCCAGTTCCACTTTGCATTCTTGTTTCTGACAAATTTAAACACTTGCCGAAGCCCTCCTCCTGAGGGGAAGGTACATTAAAGTGTGGAAAGAAAAAACTTAAAAAAAGAAGAAGAAACGGGGCGCCCGGCTGCCTCAGTCAGAAGAGCATGCGACTCTTGATCTCTGGGTTGTGAGTTCGAGTCCCATGTGGAGTGTAGAGATTACTTAAATAAAGAAAACAAAACTTAAATAAAGAAAACCAAAATGTGGAAAGAAGCTGCTTGCAGCCACTGACCACCCCCACCCCCCTGCAGCTGTCATTGGTGTTAAACTTCCCGGATGTGAGACGATACGAGGATTACATGGTAGACTGTCCCTTCCCTCGAAGTTATGGGCTTCAAGATTTAGAGGTGAAATGTTATGCTGTCTGCAACTTACTTTCAAAGAGACTGACTTACTTCAAGACACTGTCATGGAACATCCCCCGCATTTAACCGACTGAGCCACCCAGGCACCCCAGAAGGGCATCTGTTCTTGAAAGACAAAGGTGAAGGCAGAGTTAAAGAGGGCACTGTCTCTGCCAAATGACATCTCAGGATGGGCTGCCCACGTGTGCCTGCTCAGTGTCCCCCAAGGCCCCTCTCCCTGGAGCCTGCAGGTTGGCATGTGGACCATTGCTATGACTGTTGAGATGCTTTTGAAACTGGGTACCTGTGCTGGATGTTCTGTCCCACCCGGGCACCTCTCAAGTGGGTGGTAGGTCTGAACCATGAACCAAGCCATCACCTGAAGAAGCCCGCAGCTGAGGGCCAGTGAGCCTTGCCTCTGCTGGGGCAGTGGGCAGCCAACCTCTAACCCTCCCACAAGGCCCGGGCAAATGGTGTGGCCTGGCTCAGCGTTGGGGGCCCGGAGGCAGGGCATGCCAGTGGGTGAAGAGCAGGGTGGCGTTTGCTTGGGGAAACAGCTTTGTTCCATGACAGTGTCTTGAAGGCTCTATATGCCTTAGAAGAGGAAAAAGGCTATGGGTGTCTCTAGGGAGGCCACCCTTACCTCAGAGAGGTCAGCGGGAGGGAGGGGAGGATGTGCGTCCTTGGGTGGCTCAGGTAGGGATGAGGATGGGAGGGTGGGGGCAGAGGGGACCAGGGTCTTATATGGGGTGGGTTCTTCACCTAGTATCTGAGTGGTTCCTCCCCCCAGTTTTGCCGTTTTTCTCTTAGTAGCTGTTTGCCTCATGGAGAATGGCTGGGGTCTGCACGGCCTTGTTCATTCCACACCTTTGAGCAATAACTTCTCATTTGATTTCATTTCATTTTTACCAATGCTTAATAAATAAGCCTGAGAACCTTCTGGTTTTTATGCCACTCCTGCACAGGAAACAGGTGGCGTGCTCACATTCGGGTGACTCAGGACAGTTTCATGGAGAACTAGGCACACCACTGTGGGGGTGGGGGACCGCAGGGGGCCCTTTACCACGCTGGGACCCGGGGAGACACGGGGCAGAGCAGAGACCTCCAGAAGCCCAACCCCCTCTGTCCTGCCTGTCTCCCATCCAAGGTTGTCAGATAAAATGTAGCACTACAAATGATGTTTTAGGCCCAGCGTGTCCCAAATATCACATGAGACGTGCTTATTCTAAGAAATTGTTGCACTGTTTATCTTAAATTCAGATTTAACTGGGTGTCCTGTCTATTTGCTAAATCATCTAACTCCTCTAAAGCCACAGGCCTGGAACCTTCTCTTCTCGCTGCCCCCATGCGGCTTCCTGCATCCCCTCCAGCCGTGGTGAGCCCCAGGTTCTGGGGCCGGCATCGCAGAGCGCCTCAGCCCGGCAATGTTTGAGCCAGGAGAGGAAGAAGGCTGGTGGCTGTCTGCTCTGTTTCTCCATCTTACCGCTGCAAGGCTGAGAGGCCAGTGGTTACCAGAGGGGCCCTCTCCCTGCTTTTGGCCTAAACGGTCTAGAGGTCCCAAAGCTGGGAGGGCTCTCCGAAACCATCTGCCCCAACCCCCTCATTTCACAGAAACGAAAACTCCAGAAGTCCCACTTGGCTGACAGTTGCAGCGGAAACCCGGCATCCCACCCCCCTGCCCAAAGTCATGCCCACTGCGTGGCTCTACCTCTCCCTGATGTCTCAGCCTCTCTTCCTTGCTTTCCCATAACCACAGCCTGGGGATGTGCCCCCAGTGGAAACAGTTGGGTTGGTTTTGCTGATTGTTGAGGTGACACTGGCTCGTTGGGCTGGGGTGGTGGGGGGGGTGGGGGCGGACAGCGAGCCACCTGAGAGGCCTGTCAGGATTCTGGTGGCCCTGTCACGGGACATGCAACTCTGTGCACTTGCACCTTCTGTCCTTGGCGGGGGGCTGATCTGGGCTCCTTCACCCCGTCCTCATCCAGGCGCTGATTCCTTCCCAGCTTTCACCGGCTGCACGCAGTGCTGCTGGAAGCTGCGTGTGTGCTCCACGCACCAGAAAGGTGTTACACGCTTTTCCACTTTGTGTGAACGGACACTGTGTGTGGTGCTCATGCATTTGTTCTTCCTCATTCTTTTTTTTAAATTTTATTTATTTGAGAGAGAGAGAGAGCGCACACACACATGAGCAGGGGGAGTGGGAGAGGGAGAAGCGGGCTTCCCGCCGAGCAGGGAGCCCGATGCGGGGCTCGATCCCAGGACTCTGGGACCATGACCTGAGCCGAAGGCAGACGCTTAACGACTGAGCCACCGAGGCGCCCCATGTTCTTCCTCATTCTTGACCTGTCTTTTTCCTTCTTAATTTGTAGGAACTCTGTTTTATATTATAAAGATTAACCATTCATCTGGCATACAGATGATAAGTATTTTTTTTAATCTATCATTTGTGTTTTGACTTTGTGGATATTTTAAAGTAACATGGTTGAAGATTTACATGGTCCCGTATGTCTCTATGTCTCTCTTTTTCTACATAGCTTTTGGGTTTCTGCTCTTAAGACATTTTTTCAGGTCCCTAGATTATGCTTGTCTATTCATCAGATAGCTTTGTCAAATCTTAACATCCCTATAGCTGCTTCAGATCTTTTCACTATAAAATTTTCATTATAAAATTGTTAAAAATAGGGGCGCCTGTCTGGCTCCATTGGTGGAGCGGGCGACTCTTGATCTCAATCAGGGTCGTCAGTTCGAGCCCCACGTTGGGTGTAGGGATTCCTTTAAAAAATTATTGAAAACAGGGAGCCTGGGTGGCTCAGTTGGTTACGTGTCTGCCTTTGGCTCAGGTCATGATCCCAGAGTCCCGGGGTGGAGTCCCACATCGGGCTCCCTGCTCAGCAGGGAGTCTGCTTCTCCATCTGACTCTCTCCCGTCTCGTGCTCTCTCTCACTCTCTCAAATAAATAAAATCTTTTAAAAATTATTTAAAACAGTAATTATAAAAATAGTTAAAATTTACATTTAGAAATAAAACCATTCAGTTGATATTGTCAACATGACAGTTTAGCAAACTGTAATTAGCTGGTGCTCTCTGTGATCACGTTGAATTGAGGAGAGAAAATGCCAAAACTGTGTGTAAGAAGTTGCACTGTAGGGGCGCCTGGGTGGCTCAGCAGTTAAGCATCTGCCTTCAGCTCAGGTCACGATCCCAGGGTCCTGGGATCGAGCCCCGCATCCGGCTCCCTGCTCACCGGGGAGCCTGCTTCTCCCTCTCCCTCTGCTGTTCCCCCTGCTTGTGTGCTCTCTCTCTGCCAAATAAATGAATAAAATCTTAAAAAAAAAAAAAAAAAAGCTTCATTGTAGCCTGGGAGGACAGAGGCATTTCCAACAGGTAAAGCACTTCCCTCTGACATCTGGAAATCTCCGTGAGTTGAAATCTTTGGATGAGCATAAACCAGGTGGTTTATGTCCTCCAGTGTGATTGGAGAGCACCTCTTCCCTTTCCAAATGGAGGCTTGGGTCCCGGGTCCTTTTAGCAATCCCCGGGCCCGTTTCTAAGACAAGCAGTCTTCCTCCTAGGTGCCCCTTGAGCCCCTGCTGCCTTTCAGCTGACCATGCTGCTTGCTGTTTGCAGCCTGGGCCAGGGTAGCCTAGCGGGTCCTTCCAACCATGGTCATGTTTTTCTAGTCTTTTCTTCCATTTCCTGCCCTTCGCTTTGATCTTTGCCCTCTGTTTCTCTTCAGAATCGCTGACTTCTGGTTTTACTTCTGTCTCTTCTTTCTCGGCCCCGCCTGACTTCCACTGGGGCCTCTGCCAGGGTGTGTGGGCTGCTACCCTCTCAGCCGGCTCAGGTCTCTTCCTTTGAAAGACATGAAACCTGACATGAGCCCCATCCCTGCCTTCCTGCCCCAGAGGTTACCCCCACCCAGGCTCAGGTATCCCCTATCCCCCCACGTGGTCTTATTCTATAAATGCAACACAGGGTCCAGACCCTTCTCCCACAGCCTGCAGGACTGGATCGGTGCGAGTTTTTCCCCGGGTCTCCTGGGGTGTCCGTTGACGTAATTCCTTCTTGGGTGCCGCATCCATGCCTCTCTTCTTACGTGTGAGCCCTTCACGAGAGTGTCTGCCGTGCACGGCTGCCCTTGACTAGAAGTTGCCAAATCCGTCGCCAAAGAGGTTGCTAAAATGACTGCCCACCAGAGTTCCCATTGCTCCCTGTCCTCACCAGCACTTGGTGCTGTCAGACGATTTACTGTCTGCTGGTCTAATGGGGGTGAACGAGAAAGTCATTTCCTTCTTGTTGCCTCTCCTGGCTTAAACTAGAGGTTGCCTGAGCAATGCCACTTCTGGGTGTATCCCCAAAAGAAGTGAAAGCAGGGGGTGGAAGAGAGATTTGCACACCCATGTTCATAGCAGCATGGCTCCCAATAGCTAAAAGGTAGAAGCAGCCCCAAGGGCCCATCGAGGGATGAATGGAAAAGCTAAATATGGTCTATCCACGCAACGCAATGTTCTTCGGTCTTCAAAAGGAGGGACATTCAGGCACCTGCTACAACACGGTTGAACCTGGAAGACATTCCGCTGAGTGAGGGAAGCCAGACACGAAAGGACAGACACTGTAGGAGTCCGACCTCTACGAGGTGCCCAGAGCAGTCAGATGCAGAGACACAGGAAGTGGGACCCGGGGGAGGGGG